GCAGCATTGTGCGTTTTGATGGTAGTGTTGTTTTCAAAGGCAATGGCGGTGGTGGCGGTGGCGGTTCGCAAATCAGTATAAGGAGTAGTGGAAGTAGTACTGATTTCGTAACACCTTATGATGCGCTTAACATCGATGTAGTAGTGGATGAGTTACCTTTAGATCCGGTAGTTGTAAAAAAGGCGGATGAGGTAAAAAATCGACGGAATGAGGTTAATGTAACGACAACAACGCCGTTGAAAAGCGCTCAAATCTTAGTTAAAGAAGATGAACTGCGTACGCCTACGCCGAGTACTTCCAATGCCAGTATGCTTGCCTCCATGAAAAGCACTTACAGTTCAAATGCCGAGTCTGCGACCACCATGCAAAGCGCTGATTTAAATGAAGCGGCAACTCAGCCACCAACTACGTTAGAAAACACTTCAGAAGCGACGTAATGAACGATTGCGTGAATTTAGTTAAGGACTTAATTATTTAAGTAATAGAGTGTGTATGTACCATGTGACTGAGTGCAAGATATCTGTAATCGAGAGAGAGAGAGAGAGAGAGAGAGAGAGAGAGAGAGAGAGAGAGAGNAGGAAGTGACAAACAAGTACGAGTATGCTTCGAGCGAGTTTTCAATCAACTTCCTTAGCCATATATATTTACTAAATACAAAATAGTTGCTACAAATTTCAAAATGTCTGAATTAATTATAAATAATTATTGCGTTAAGCTCGACGACTTATGAACTTGTATATTGTTTGTAATAATCTTGCAACAAAGGAAACAAAAATAAATAAGTAAAGAGCAGTTTTTTGTAAGGGGAATTAAAATTTAACAAATCGCACATACCTATACACTTCAAAAGCGAGTAAGGATAACTTTTCAACAAGTAAATAGGTTAATTTCAAGTTTTGAATTCATAACATACGCACACATGGCATAATTATTTAGTATTTCTTGCGAATTAATTCAAACAAGAAATCCGAGTCATAATTTTGAATTATTGTAATCAAAAGCTTATAGCTCAGTAGAAGTAATGATATATGCCATATAAACATACATATACTTATATTATTATCATGGCTATTCCGATTGTTACCGCACATTTTGTAAGCGAAATTTTAAAACTTTTTAACAAGAACTTTATGGCCCTATTATATATGGCGACTGATAGCCGATAGGCAACCATATAAAAAAAAAATTCGCATTACGTATGGCTACTGGCTACTGAGTCTAGTTGCGGAATTTTCTATTTCCCGCTTATGAGATTTGGTTATTTGTTTACACTTGTTAAACACATTGGATCCCAGTTTTCAATTACTTCGAAATGTTCATGTCAAAAAAGTAAATTTGGCTTTTGTCTGCGCTTTTCTGTATACTGAGATTAATCGCTATATATAAAACAACGTACGATATATGTCGCCATACATAATAGGACCATTAGTTACCGGTCACAAAATGTTTGTTACCAAGCCAGTGTAGCCCGTTTCTGTAACTCTTCTCTGCCGATTATTTCTCTACTGGTAGATAATATACGTCATTCTCTACTACTCATTAGCAGTAGAGAACAGGGCGGCGAATTCATATCACAATTCGCCTTGATAGAGAATTGTTACAGAAACGAGCTACAGGTCTTACTATGCATATTACGAGGGTTGCCTTTTATATTCTGCGCCTAATACCGAAAACAGTAAAATAACACTGATGCACAAAAATTACCTTAATAAAAGTTAAATGAAATTGAAAGGGTTATTTTGTATCTAGAACTAACCTGTAACTAATACACATTATTAAAATAATTCAGTCACCCTCGGTTTTTTTGCAACAGCATTTAAGTAAAATTTAATGAAATACGCTTGAAAACTGTATTTAATGAAGAAAAAGAAATAATCTTTTAATTTTATTTAGGATTTTCGGGAATATTGAGCATCAGGTACATCTCTTTTTAGTGTACAACAGTAGTCAGCTAACATATTTGGACTCCATTATCCCTGATACCATTTTTCTATGTTAAGATATATCCTGATGAACGGCTCGCCGTGTTCGGCAAATTTTAAGGAAAAAATTTTAATGTGATTGTAAGAAGTTTATCTTGAGCGACATATTGCATCCCATATTATTGTAGGCTGTTAAAAGGTTGCTGACCAACTCTTCAAAGTTTTCGGCTTTGTGGTTTCCAAGAAAACTACGAACACCATTTCAAAAACATGTCCATGCGGATTTTTCGATCGGATTAAGTTTTTCTTAAAACTGTTCGTCAGCCAATAGGTCTCCTAATTTGTGGCCCTACTGTTTTTCAAAATATTCTCCTTGGAAGTCAATACCCATCTGCATTCGCTTGCACCAATTTTTAAACTTTCAAATTATGCGGTATCCAACGAGAATAAATTTCCTTTACGGACAAATGTTCATGCAATATTGAATGTATGCTGGTCTCAGTAATGCCCAAGGATGTCTCTATCTCGCGATATGTCACATGACGATCTTGCGTTATCAATTGACGCACAGCATCGATTGTTTGTGGCACAACAACAGTTTTTGAACGATCATCACGAAATTCATCCTGCAAGGATCGACGGCCATGTTGGCGCTCGTATCAGCATTTCACAATGGCTAAGTGTGGTGCTACAACGACAAAAGTCGAAGTAAGTTAATCAATGCACTCCTGTCTCGATAATCCACGTCGAAAATCGTAATAAATCATCACAAGAAAATTTTCGCGAGTTAATTCAATCTTTTGGGCGAGATAAAAAATCTCACTGGAAAAAAATAAAATAAAGCTCGTAAAAGAGAACGTTATATGTAAGTTTATGCTAAAAATACCAAACTTTTCGATAAAAATATCGAATTACAGCTCATCACAAGTAGTTTTGTAAGGCGCAAAATATAAAAGCCACCCTCATACACCTTTTTGCCTATATTTAGTAATCTACATATCGAGTGCTTATATTCAAAACCCTCTATCTTCATTTTTCACAAAAATGCGATTCTGATATAAAAATCCACCTAACACTTAACTGCCATTGGTGATATTAATGCTGACCTTGTATAACGCTTGACAGAAGAATTTACAATTACCTTGCAAAGTCGGAATCAACATCAGTGATGACAGGCAAATCCCAGATGGGTTCTAACATCACAAAGTAGTTTCTGTAAAAATTGCACATAGAGGGTATTGAATATAAGCCCTCGATATGCTATATACATATCGCACATTTGCTGCAAGGGTGTCATAATCCAAAATCGAGTTAAAAATATGCAGAAATGAACGCTACCTGTTCTATGTTGTGTAAAAATTTGCATTGCTGTAACGAATACTAGTAACTCACTAGAACGAAATATGTAAGTATTCATTTTTACTATGTGAGTATACACACATATGTATATAAATTCAAAAATTTAAATGCCGTTATTCTCCAATTTTTGGAAAATGACACTCTTTCAGTAAACGATATGTACCGTTACCTTAATTTAGAAAGGCCCTAACTCATTTTACTCTCTGTACAAAAGTGAGTAGATTATTCAACAGACTTAATCGAACTTAAAATCAACTACTACATCAAAAAATTAGTTGCTGTTTAATAAAAGCCAATATAATACAAAAAAATCTTAACTGAAGATCTTTAGTTTTTATAAAAATTGTATAAATACTCTGTAAAATAGCAAAAATGTCAGACAAAGCCTTTCTATTTTAGGGTAACGGTATTCTAATGTACCGAAACATAAAAGCAAATGATTATTTTTTAATGAGTTGATACTCAATTCAAAAATGAGGCTTGAAATAATGTAGATATAAAAATAAGACTAATAAATGAGTACATTTTGCATTGCTGCATCCATCGTTGGTATTCATTTTCATCACTTACCTACTTCTGAAGTCGAAAATGAAGAAAGAACTCATTAGAAATAAACGCCTATTTAGATTTTATGATGTGAGTTTAAATCTTTGTATTTTGTAATATTAGACTACTATTTGTAACTGCTTTGATGTCAATACAACATATTGATGTTTGCACAATTCAAAGAATAGAGTTTGTTTATTTGGAAAACTTATCAAATCTTTGTACTTTATATGTAATGAATTTTGCCAAAATATAAAAACGCAGAATGCGCTCTAAGAGGTTGTTTTGTTTTATTTTATTTAAGAGTTCCTAAATCTGTTCTAATGCAGGCCAACCCAATATTTTACACACGTCAAAAATTTCGGATGCACACAGGATCGATCCAAATTAAACAACGTTCGTATAAAGCTAACTTCAATTTAAAATTTTTGCTCATCATATTATTTTAATTGAACGTTTATCTTCGCAAAATGCATATGTATTAGACGGCATGCGTTCATATTAGATTGGGTCGTAAGAATTTTCCAAATGTCTTAGTTAATGTCCATGTTATAGAGCTTATTTTTACATTATTTTTGTTCTCACGTTTTTGCAAAGGCGTCTAATAATTGCATGGCTTACAGAATTAAAGGTAGTAAATCCGAATATTTTTTATACAATTACTGCGTTTTAATTACTCAACTTCTTTTGCATCACGAAATCTAGAATGCTAAAAAATAGTCTGTCTAGAATTTTGTTTATTTTCGGTGAATTTGCTTGCTCACAACAGCATTGGTCCAATCCTTATAAGACTCAATAAGCAGCGTTTCTGTTCCAAGCGCTTCGTTTCTGAAATGATATTGAAACAAGTAAGTGCGCCTGGGCCACACTGAAGAAGTGAAACTTACGTTGCATCTCGTTCGTCACATAACCAATATACATATGTACATACATACATATACGTCTGCTTTTGCTTAAGGTTCCCAGTAATTCAGGAGTTAAAAGCCCTTCCGAAAGGTCTTCCTGAGAGCCTTCCACTCTACATTCCTTTCTCCTTTCTTTTTTGTATAGAAAGGCACAAATTGAAGGGCTTCTTCTTTCGCTACCCATAGTAGGCCTTCCAGAAGGGTTTTTATAGGACGTACTTCAGAAGGCCTTTTGGAGGAGTCCTTTTAAAGTTGCATCTTTAATTCAAAAAAATCATACATCTTTTAAGTATTTGCTGAAGGTTTATATCAAATATGTGTTATTGCAAACTTAAAATGTTTATCGAAATTCATTTGTAATACTAAATAATATAAATTTATGCATTCGCGTAAATTGTAAATAGATAAGCCCTTCTAGAAGGCATGCAAGAAGGACTTTTTCAGCCCTTCTTGGGTAGGTCTCTTAGAATGGCTTCACTTAAGGCCTACTTAAATTATCTTCTGGGTTATATTTTTTGTCTTTTTTCTATCTAAATCCCTATCTCTTTCCTTATCCTGTTCCTTCTAATTACATTTATATTACTCTGTTTTCCTTTATCTCTATTTTTATCTTTATCGATACAAAATCGATAGTTACATCCATAAAAATATCGATAACAAAACCGATAAAAATATTGATACCAAATCCGATAGAAAAATCGTTATCAATATCGATAAAAATATCAACAAAAATTTATAAAAATTTCGATAACAAAACCGATAAAAATATCGATTATTATATCGATGAATTCCGAGAAGCCCGAAAATCTCTAAAACCCCGAAATGGTTCCCAGATTGAGTATCTGTGTTTCTATCTACATCCTTTTCTCAATAATTACCTTCATTTTATTATTTTTTTAACCGACTTCCAAAAAAGGAGGAGGTTATCAGTTCGTCGGAATATTTTTTTATTTTTTTTTTTTTTTTTTATGTATGTTACCGCATAACTTTGGACCACGTCAACCGATTTCGATAATTCGCATCGGAAAGGTAGTGTCTCAGAGGTGGTCCCATACTAATCTGGTTAAGATCCGATCAGCGGATCATGAGATATATATATATATATTTTTTTTTTATATGAGAGTTGAAGTCGGTTTTTTTTTTGCTAAAAATTACTTGTTTTTATTTTACCCCCATCCTCATCTTTTTATTTATATTTACCTTTCTTTTTATTTTTATGTTTATCATTTTCTTCATCTATATACATACTTATTCCTCTAAACATTTGCCCTTATATAAGTAAAGTGTTTAAATTTACTTGATCTTCATTTTTGTCTTTATCTTTACGCATCTTTGTTTATGTTTTTATTTTTACTGTTGCCTTTATCCTTCTCTTTGGCCCCTATTATGAGTTGCATTCGATCTTCGACTGTGGTTGAAAGTGCTGAACGAACGAATTTTTTATTTGGTATTATGGCGCTCATTCGATTAATAATAGCGCTATTGTAAATTTCCTCGCTTAGGTTATTCACAATATGTAGTATATTTTTCACCGTTGAGAAGCTTTGTTTACAAATCCAGCAAACTAAATAGTGTACTTATACATATGTATTTATTTAAATTTGTGCAAATTAAACTGAAGTAAAAAAGAAAGAAATTAGTACAACGGAGTTCTGGTTCAACGATTCGTCAGAGAATGGGAGCTTAGTAAACTGGCCAGCAGTAGAAAATGTTTAAATGTAGTCTTTCGAATATATTTTGACATAAAATATATTTAAGAAATTTTTCTACAATTTATTAAAAACTTCCGACTGTCTAAAGAGCGTTTGTGAGCAAAAATCTATTTAAAATATTTTAAAACTATCAAGAGCTCTATGATTTTGTTCTCAGAGATCGTGGCAACTGAGTATTGGGATTCACTTTCACAAGTAAAACCAGCCTTTCGAGCTTGTGTTTAGTATTCACGACGTTAGAACTGCATGAAATTAATAAAAATTGTTTTAGTTAGTGTCTAGCCGCCAAAAAGTAAGAAAACAAATGCAAAATCACGCACTTTTCACAATTTTCTAACACTTCGCTACACCATCGAAAGCAAAAATGTGTTCGACAGAAAATTCGATAGTCAACGAAAATTTCGACACGGTTGCATAGCTCATAATACGAATTTTACTTTCGATCTTCGATAACCATATAAAAAAATTTTCGGATTTTTTTTTTTTTATATAAAAAAAAATGCGAAGGACGGTCAGCAAAAAAATTCTCAAAAATCAACGTGGATTTTTAGACATTTTCAAATTCGCATATTATTATATTAAAATTGAATGGGCTATAACGCTGCATACCTGAATTCTTTTTAGAAATTCGTATTAAAAAGTTCGCGATTTTGCTGAAACTTTGCACATTTTTCTTAATTTTCGTACACTGTTGCTATTTGCTATTGCTATGATTTTAGCATGTAAAACATTGCGAATATTAACAAAAAAAAGAGCCGTACGCTCAATTTGGGAGTTACAGTATGTATGTATGCATATAAAATGGTAGCCGTTTTCGCATTCCGATTTTAAGCGCTTCAAATTAGGCAAAAAGCTCTGGTCATGAAAATTCAAACAATTTAGATTTATTTATGAAGGATAGAAAACTTAGAATTTATCTTAAGTTGAATAACTTATAATAATTGCATCACTAAAGAATTAAAAATTGTACTTAAGCAGGTGTTTCATCTTCAGTTTTTCTCAAAAATTCGACTATTCGGCCTCGGTATTCTTTCGTTACATTTATTCTTACTACGAGTTTTTCGACCTCTTCGTCTTGTTGAATTTTATGAACGCCTCTTATATGCCGCTTAGTTCTAGAAAAAATCAATAAATAGAAAATACATATTTATGTGTATAATTAGAGAAACTTTGGATTTATTGACAGGTAATGGTATTTTAATATATAGTATAATTTAAGAAAAAAACACGTAAACATATTGCTCGTTTACTGGAAGAACGTCACAAAACATCAAATAATTAATCACTTAAAATTAAACAAATATGAAATACATACCAGAGGACAGAAAAACATCAAACCTTAATTTCCTTTCTTACTTTGGTGAAAAAACTATTTGTGTTTTAGTTATACAGCTATATAACTACATATATATACAGTGCTGGATAAATAAATAGGGACACGACATTTTAACAAATTGTTCCTACTTTTCTTCTGTTTAATATATATTACTTTTTTATAAAAGTATAGTTCATTATCTAACAAAAACCATATAAATTCATATTTCAAACTTTGTGCAAAAATTATAAAAATATGTACAAAAAATGTGAATGTGTTTGTTTGGTTGGTTGGTAGAAGCGTCGCCTGGGTATGTTCCCGGGACCCAATTATTGCTGAAAGCACCATTTTGATACGCTTTCTCTGGGATCCCTGATTCTATCTGCTTTCATGATTCGTTGGGTTCGTCAATCCATTTGGATTTTCCGATGAATCTGTTTAGGTTAGTAATGGTTAATTTGGAAATTTGCCCAACATTTTGGATGGAAAAACTCCCGAGTGTGATCTGCCTTATCTGTGCCAATGCTGGGCACTCGCGAAGATAGTGAAGGACCGTTTCCTTACTTCCCACAAGATTACAGCTACGGCACCGAGGGTTATACTGAAGGCCCATTCTAGCTGCATGTTCACCAATGGGACAATGTCCCGTTATCGTGGCTATTAATTTGACTATATCTTTCCTCGACCTCTTGAGAAGCTCTTATGTCTTTGGCTTGTCATAGTGCGGCCATATGTACCTCGTAGTTTTGCAGGTTTGAAGGTTGTTCCAACCTGTATCAGCCATACGTGTGAATTGCAGATGCATTTCCCTTTTGATGAGTCCGAGTTTCTGCTTCGGATTCATCCAAAGATGCTCCGGCCTTAGCCAACTCGTCAGCCCTCTCATTGCCGTGTATGTTCCTATGGCCGGGAACCCAGATGAGAGTGATGTCTATTAACTCGGCCGCCGAGCGTAACGCACATTTGCAATCTCTGACTGTGTTGGATTTTGTTACCGGTGAGGCAAGTGCCAGAAGTGCCGCTTGCCTATCTGAAAAAATGTATGCTTCTCGTACACCTACGCAGTTCCTCTCTAGTGCTTTACAGGCCCTTTCGATGCCCAGTACTTCCGCTTGAAAGATGCTAGCAAAGTCAGGTAGTCGAAACGAGAGAGAGACATTCAGCGTATCAGAGAACACCCCCGCACCCACACCGCTGTCCATTTTGGACCCGTCAGTGTAGATTTCAGTGGAATTTTCCTCGACTATCCTGCGCCTACTCCAATCCCGTCTTGAAGGAAACTTCCCCTGAAAGCTTTTCCTGAAATCTGTCGTAGGAGGTATATAATCTGATTGTTCCCCTGATTCGATAAGTTTGTGAAGAATACTACTATGGCCGTGCTGAAGCGCCCTCAAGCAGCTTGACCCTTCGAGTCTGACTGCCGCAGACGGAGCAGTTTCGCGGATATGGAGTTCTATGGGTAGCTGATGCAGGATTACATTAAGCGCATCAGATGGGCACGACTAGTGATAGAACTTTTTAGAAAAGTATCGATACTAGTACTCACATATAGTACTCTAAAGAAGAATCGATGCCAGCACTCATATTTGCAAAAAAGTATCGATAATACTCGTACTATCAAGTATTTTTAAAACACGAAAAGTAAACAAAATCAGATTGCTTTGTTTTCATGACCTCTTCCTATTTGTAAATTAAATTGACACTGCTTTAAATGGAATGGAAATGTGATCTAGCACACACTTCAAAAAGAAGTTTTGAAATAAACTTGTAGAAATTTTACTTCTACAAGTGTAAAGTAATCGTTTATAGCAAAGATCTACATATAGGTTTTTAGGAGCAAATATTCTAGAATGTTTGACGCGTATATTTATAAACCAGTTTACTTTTAAAATAAAATTCAAATGCAGAAAATGAGAAACAAATGTGGCGAAGTTCATTCTCTAAATAGATGCTCTCTTTCCTAAAAATTGTCTTCCAGAATAGGCTGGATTCCGAATTCACAACGAGGTTAGAATACATTCGCTAACGAAGGCTTTGATATGCTGGGGAATAGCCAAGTTATCGTTTCGAATTCCATTCTCTTACCCATTCATTATAGAAGGTGAAGTCAAAAGATTCATTCTCCAATTATTTAAGAATTTTTAACCAAAGCCAATATTGAAAAGACCGCTCCCCCTTTTCGATGGTGTATAAAAATTGCATAGCTGTGCCGATTACCAATAGCTCATAAGAACAAAATAGGTATTCATTTTTACTATGGGAGTATGTAAGTTCAAAACTTTAAAGCCGTTTTTCTAGGCTTTTTTGGGCTACGACAGTGTTGAAGTATATGAGCGTTATGTTCCTTTTCACGGCATTCATATTGGTTGTGGAAGTAATTTTCGAACGCTCACCACAATGTCTTTGGGTAATTTTCAAAGAAGTTCTTAAAACTTCGATATTTTTTGTTATTTTCAGGTTTATTCAATAAATTTTTCCCTACTTGACCTTAAAATGACCACGAACCTGACGTGATGGAGGCTAACGGACGTCGGATTCGCATTCAGCGTGTCGAATCACTTCCAAAGGTACTATTTTTATTTTATGCAATATTATTTAATTAAACAGGACAGCTATAAGTCGTGGAGTAGGCCTATCGGGGAAGCCACGTCAAAACAAAACGCGCCAAATGCACGACCCCACAAGTACGGTGGAAATTGTGCATATTATGGAAAACCAAATATTTTGAATCGCTATATCTCAGAAATAGTAATTCTTCGGAAGGAAAATGTTATCACAGCTTTTATAGATAATTGCATGATCCGCACTTTTGTCTAACCTATTTTTGTGAGAAACCTTGTCGTTTTGCTGAAAAATGCACAAAAAATAACTTTATGTGACTTTTGATCCTGAATAATTTTTTTTGCAGACATGGGATCGATGGGGACTTTTGACATTTCATTCAAAATGGTGTTCGCAACACTCTACCAATTTTCAGCTTTATGCGAATTATTAGGTTTGTTCGTCGAAAATCCAGCAAGAATTATCCAACACTCAAAATATCAGAGAGTAAGAAAAAATTCTCTCAAATTCTCTCTCATATTGAGAAACTTGCAAATTTCTGCACGAACGCAAATTTGCAGGAATTTGCAAGTTTCGCTGCCAGCTGGCGTCCACGGTTGCATTTCAAACATAAAAAATTTTTATAGAATTCTTTCGGATGGCCAAAAACAGGATATACATGTATATTTCTTGTTGTTCTGACTTTCTTTAACATACATTTCAATATCTTCATCGTACTAGCTGTCGGGTTTCTTAAATCGACTCTGGTTGCAATTGCATTCCGATTGCGAATACCATTTTTTCAGCCGAATTGAGTTCAAATCATTGGAATTAACTAAATTAATTATATCAACAATTATTTACTTCCTTTTTTCATAAAAAAATCGCTCGTGTTTATAAATTTTTAAATTTAACGAACTAATTTATTCAAATTATTGTAGACAAAAATGCAACCATGCGCCACCACCACATGTTTTTCGTGTTTGCAAATTCTTGCTGGCAAAATTTTTTCCAGCAAGAATTTGCAACTTCTCCCCAAGAGAACTGTCACTTTGCTCTCACAATTTTTGAGTGTTGGATAATTTTTTGGTCTGCACGAACGCGATTTGGGCAAAAATCGTGATAATTCGTACAAATTCGTACAAATTTTTTGCTCGACGAACAAACCTATTGTAACCTTGAATGTCTAACTTGACCGGGCTATGTGGTGATAAGCAAAGTGATTATTATTGCAAGTAAGAAAAATATTCCTCCTAGTTAAAGTTTTAGGTATCATAAAAGAATACCTGGCAACCAGAAAACAGTTTGCTTTTGGAATAATGACATTTTTCCAGAAAACGTGGGGTACACCATGGCGGAATTATACCAGGTGAAGTAATTAGAGCGAGAAGTATGATTGATGAATGATGATGCCTTATTTGAAAAATTGCCTTTAAAATTGGACTATTATAAGGCAACCGAATGTCAGAAAATAAAGCGAGAAAGCTGTTTATTACTTCACCTGTTTATTGCGCCATGGGGTACACAAAATCATAATCTCGTTCGTTTAATAACAAAGATAATTATTTCAAAATTTAGGTTTTTGGAAATTTTATCATACAATTAATAAGTTTGATAAAGAGAAATGTTCAGTCTAACAGATAACTAAACTACCCAAAAATTACAAAGAAATGTATGTGTCTTTTCAACTGCGTTTTTTTCGTGCATACTAACTGTATGGAAACTTTGAATGCGTTTACCACAAAATAAAAATTTTGAATTAATTATCTTTACTAATAAACGTGCGAGTTTTTTTTGAATTAAAGTAGGTTTTTTATGGAAAATACAACAATAAAAAATTGTTAGAAGTTAATTGTAGAAGTTCACGAACACTTGAATATAAAAAATTAGTGGTGTACCCGCTTATCTAATAGCATATTTCCACCAAAAACTTAACTGCAGTTAAGTGCAGTCAAGTAAGGTGCATGAATTTGCACATGGGAGATTACCAATTCCGAGTTTTAATCTCCTTTTTGCAATAGGCATTAACTGCAGTTAGGGCTTGATGGAAATAAACTAATTTCTCCCACATAAACTGGTTGGTTATATAACTTCGATCAATTTAAAAAATATTTGTTTTTTCCATAAAAGTTGTCTAAAAAAAAACTATGTATTTAAACATTATGTATGTACCAAGACTAGGACTATCCCTATATTCGGATATCCGTTCGGGTTTTCGTGTATACGGATAAAATCCGGATATCCGGTTAATATCCGTTAGTTTCTTTATGTGGATATTCTATTCAGTATTTGAATGGATTCGCAAAATTTTTCTCAGAAAAGTCCAGAATCTATCGGATTGCAAAATCAATAACAAAACACTAATATTTAACGTCGATGTTTTTGCAAAACCGCCCATCGACCAATTGCACAACCGCCTATTTTACGGCGCTCAAATTTTACAGGAGAGCGAAAAAACGGCTTTTCTTTCTAGCTATTGTTTTACAAATCTGTTGTTTTAATAACGATTTTACGATTTTTATGCATAAATCTCGATGCCTGGAGTTCAGGGTTACCAAATCTCATTTTTGCCACAACGGCGATTTAGGCGGTTTTGCAACTGGTCGATGGGCGGTTTTGCAAAAACATCGACGATAAACATTAGTTAATTTATTGTTAATTTTTAGATTTGAATATCCGGCTACCTATCCACTATTCGGATATACGAATTTCAATACATTTTTCGGATATCCGGACGTTCGGATATTTTATTCAGATATTCGAACATCCATATAGTCAAAAATACGGGTAGAACTCCCAGTCCTAGTATGTACATACATACATAATATGTATTTAGTTCACATTGCCGCCATCAATGCAAGTGGCCCCATCTGAAAATTTTGAAATCTTACATAAACAACAACAAAACTTTATAATATACTCGGTAACATACATATCGTTACCTAAAGGTGAAAAAGTGCCAAGTTCATCTTTTGAAATTGTTCAGGATAACGAAAATCGATATAGATTCGCATTATCTGTCATTCTGCATCAAAATCTAAATTTTGAAAAAAGTGACATCGGCACCTTTCCGATATTTACTTATACTGCTTAAGTCGAGAGGTTGACTTTAGTATAATCAGGCTCATTGCGTACGTCGTAAATTAGCCTAAAATGCACGATTTGACAATACTGGCCAATGCCAATTGTCGCGCTGAAATAAATAGACGACGAAAACTGTCGAAAACTATTCAGTACTGAAAGTTTTCCCATTTTAATACACTAGTCGAATCGAATTTTTAGGCAATGCCATGTATTTGTCGATACGACTCGGCTTTCGAAAAACGACTTGCATTCGATAGGACACGCGCAATGAAGCTGACTGTTCCTTGTGCAGCCTGAGATTGCACTGGGATAGCGCACTTGCCATTGAACACCTATTGCCAAAAGAATCAGAAAGAAATAATTTAGTGCCAATATTCCATAAAGGGCAATTTTCTCAAGTAGTTTTTTTAAATTCATAAAAAGTGTTTGCCCTTCAAACGGCAGATACATTTAAAATATGTCTCATAAAAGTATTTGTTGTGCTTTTAGTAATAAAAGGAATGGCGAATTATACTAAAATCAAGCCACTCGACTTAGGCAGTTACGGCTTGAGACGACAGAAGGTATTTTGTGAGATATGTATTGGGGTGTATACTAGCGAAGACTAACGGAATGTGTAAGCAAACGCATTTCCGAAAAGGTGTTCTTCAGGGCCCTTTGTATTGATGGTGACAGACGGTACGTATAATATAAGAAACCAAACTTACTTGTAAGAATCTTCAAACTTTTTTTCACACGAACCACACTTGTAAGGTAAACCTGTATGCTGCATGCGATGTGTATAATATTTGTCATATTTTGAAAACTTTTCACCACATGTTAAACAAGTGTAACTAGTGTATCCTTTATGATATTGCATATGCCTATTGAGAATACGCTTTTGGCTAAACGATTTGTTACAAACGCGGCATACAAATGGAGATTCTCCTGAATGAGTTCGCAAATGTGCTTCAAGATCTACTTGTCGTACATAACGTTTTTGGCAAATGTTGCATTCTATCGTAATTCCTTTGTGATGGAGCTCATGAATTGATAAGCCACTTTTATTAAGAAATGACTTATCACACTGCTTGCAATGAAACATTGGTTTGCGATTATTTTCGTGGGTCTGTAGATGTGTTTGGAGATAATATGGTGATGCAAATGATCGACCACATTTGTCACACGGGTACCGCTCACGATGTTCTTTGTGGGTTTCTTCGTGCTTTCTCAGTGCCCTTTCATCATTAAATTTTCTTGCTGTATTTATTTAATATATTAATTCTAAGATAGATATATAAGTATGCCGGATTTTTATAATACTTACGGCAAGCCTGACAAAGATATATCTTGGGTTTGTGAATGTACTTATGTTTCCTTAAAGCCTTCCTGGTCATAGTTTTTCCACATTTTTCACAGGTTACAATCTCGTCTATTCCCTTGGAACTCTTCTTCGTGACGTAGCTTCTTTTTCGTACATTTTTAAATTTTTTATGAGCTACGATTGGTCGATCTACTTTATTTGATACAGGCTCATCAGATTCACTTTTTACATTTTCATCGAGAGCGATATCATTTGATATAGCAGTTTCAAAATCGTCTATATAGTTTTCACTCCACTCAAGTGCATTTTTGGGATCTTCCACGCAGTTCTTTATAACAGTTTAAAGAAATGAATATATAGTTATATATACAGTATCGGTCATATCTATAGCACGCCATTTCAAAGTGATATTATTGTGTGCAACTTATGTTTATTTATTTACTTTTGAGAATTTTCAATTAAAATACAGTTTTTTCTCCAACAAACCCCATATAAACCCAAGTTAAACAATTTGTAGAAAACTTCAAAAAAGTGTTTGAATTTTTGTGAATACACAGTTTTATAGCCCAATCAATTTTAGTCTGATAATGTGCAAGTTTCAAGTGACTGAAAGTTACCGTTGATTTTTTAGAATTTGTTTCTCCAAAGGTGTTGCGACTTTCATCCATATACAAATAAATTGAGTTTATTCATTATACAATGCGACAAAAAAAATCTAAAAAATTAACGGTAATTCGTAGCCACTTGAAATTTGCACATTATCAGACTCAAATTGCAGTGGCTAAAAAACTGTGTACTCGAAAAAATTCTAACACTTCCGAGAANATCTTCCACGCAGTTCTTTATAACAGGTTAAAGAAATGAATATATAGTTATATATATATGCAGTGCATTCTTTTCAAATAATAAATATTATACCTTTATTTCAACCTCTGATAAATTATTTTTCAATTCCTTCACTTCTACTGGAACCCATTCAAAAGTGTTTGCCATCTCATCTTCCAATTTCACTTTCTCGAGCCGTATGCAACGTAATTCATTATCCGACTTTCTTGCCTTTTCAATAAAGCCGTGGGCCTCTTTTAATTTATGGGCGCACTCAAAGCAGAGGTATTGCATTTGGGCTTCATCACGTTCGTTTTGATCGTCCTTTAAACTTACGTTAATTTGGGTGCATTTACAAAAACATTCTTTGTATGTCAATTCGGTTTCCAAAGTGCTAATGGGTTGATTCCAATCCAGTAGATGCACTTGGTCTTCTCGCGACAAGCACGCTCGGCAGATATTTATTGAATCCATTCAAAATATAGATATATTATTTTGTTGAACATATGAACGAAAATCCACGGGACCCACTCTTGTCTTTCACTATTTTTTTAATGTATGTTTTATGTAGATATGTATGTATGCATGCACATATATGTATATTGCTGGGAGCAAAATGCCTATTGTTTACCAGTTCACCAGCTGATCTAGGAACACCTCAAGTAGGGATTTCAGAAAAACATCGATACATCGAAAATATCGTTGTTTTGCTTTGATGCATCGAAAATTTTCCACTCGATGCAGTGTTGCTAATTCGAGCGATTTCGCCCCTTTTTCGGAATTTGTGTTTAAAAGTAGGGTTGCCACTGACGAAAAATAAATACTTGCCATCCACCTGAAAAAAATTACCAAATCTAGAAAATACCTACCAATAGCTTGTTTTAGTTATTCTAATAAAAACTATTGTTTTATTCTATTTTTTCATTTATTTTGTTCTGTTTATTTCAATAAAAATAAAAATTGTTTAACTAATGAAATAGTATTTGAGATCATGTTAATGGCATATTTTCCGGCTTATTGAGTCTTTTAGGGCCGGTTACTCAATGTCTGGTTAACACTAATCTGCGGTTAAACATCGTTATCGACGTTACCGACTCCCTGTTATATGCATGGAGTCGAAGACGTCGGTAACGATGTTTAACCGCAGATTAGTGTTAACCAGACATTGAGTATCCGGCCCTTAATATTCATAACGTTTTTCAAGTACAAAGTATTGAACTCGGAACCCGCTGGTGGTAGCAGAGAAAGAGGAAGGCCCCCACTGAGATGGAAAGACTAGGTGGAGAAGGACTTGGCTTTACTCTCCATTTCCAATTGGCGACAGTTGGCACAGAAAAGAAACGACTGGCGTGCTTTGTTGAACTCAGCCAAAATCGCTTAGGCGGTTACAGCGCCAAATAAGAAGAAGAATATAAACATATGTATATACATTGGTAGCCGTTTTCGCATTTCGTTTTTAAACGCTTCAAATTAAGCAAAAAAAGCTCCGGTTTTGAAAATTCAAATAATTTAGATTTGTTTATGAAGGATAGGAAACTTAGAATTTTTCTGAAATAATAGGCGTTTTTTTTACACGCATACAATAGGTTTTTTCCCTAACAATCCGGACCGGATCCGGTAATTAGAGAATAAGCGAAAAGTTTGCTCTCAAAAATGGAACATAATCCAGAAGTACGGGAACGCAAAAACCACATTTCGTGCCCAGAATTTGAGAAACAGCTGCAAACTCTTGGAAATTGAATTTTTGTTTCACAAATTTGATTTTAAGAATATAAAGATTGAAAATATATTCACTATATTCCACAAAAAACAGCTGATATGCACTTTGACGCTTTATCCATTTTTGTGAAAAAGTCCGGGCTGTTTCAAGCAGGAAGAAGAAGACACTTACGATCCAATACGTTCCAATTTTCGCTCTCTATTATCCATTTTGTTGAGTACGGGAATGATTTCTGGGCTATTTTGGGCATCCGCGAGATCCCGCTTTGCGTACGGGAAAGAACCTAATATAAGGTGATGTCACTTGCATAACCTCACTTTTCCTGCATGCAAATTGCGGCCATGCATTTGAGGGTAGTAGAAAAAGAGGGAAAAGATTAGGATAATTTTTACTACTTTTTGGGTACTATTTCCAATACTGACTTTTAATATATATGTACATATACACGTATCAGTGGACTCCACACCAGTTAAATGAATCTTGTATCCATAAAATATTTTTGCTGTAAACCAGTGTAATTAGAGTTTAATTTTTTCGCTCAAAACAAATTATTATTACTTAATTTTTATTTTTTCGATCAAATATAATGATTATGATAATTATTATTCAGTTATATTTTTCTACCTTAAAATTATTATTTGTAAAACTTAAAAGGCCAGACAATCGTACCACACACGTATGACGTTAGTTAAAACTTAAAAAATAAGGACTATTTTCCGCCTTTCATTTATACACATTTAAACCAGTTAAATTATACCGTTGTCTTTATTTAATTATTCTTAAATTCTAATTAAAATAACACATCGGCCGCTATTATGAGTTGCATTCGATCTTCGACTGTGGTCGAAAGTGCTGATCGAACGAATTTTCATTTGGTATTATGGCGCTCATTCGTCTAGCCGCCAAAAAGTAAA